GGCGGGCTCTGCTCTGCTTCCCACAGGGCTGGCCGGGGCCTGGGGTGACCAGGGAGCCCGCTGTGATCACAGCCTGACACAATATTTACAGAATGCTGTGATCTGTCACGGTCACGCCTGGTCACGTCTGAGTTACATCTGCCTGTGGTGTTTATGATCCCCCAGACGCGCAGCAGTGACCACGGTCTCACCAGGACCTTTGTGTGCCGTCCCTGCCCCACGGCCTCCTCCAGACAGCCCCTCGCGTGGGGTCAGGTGAGCCCGGGCTGCGGGAATCCATCTTGTCCTTGTCTCCATCTGTCTGTCTGTCTGTGACGGGGGCCCGGGCCTTGAGTGACTGACTGATGGTCACTCGGAGGTGCAAGGGCTACAGAAGACGCTGATATAGCTCAGTGCAGGACAGAAACAGAACTGTCCCAGGTTAGCCTGTAAACAGACACTTCACCAATAAGAAAAGCAAGTGGCCATTCTGTACCAAAGACACCTTCAGCAATAGTTCAGGATACGCAGATTGGAACACAGAAATGCCCTATGAAATTCAAGGGGAATGATTACAGCAGCTCATGCCAGCAAGGAACCCGAGAAGCCCCCAGGAACGGACACGGGTGCAACCTTTTTGGAGGCAATATGGAAAAAGAGCCCAAAGTCTTAAACTTTCTTGCAGAATCTCTGACCCTGTGTGCGGATTTTCTACTTGTTGCTGTAACATCTTGTCACACAAACTCGGGCCTCATGCATGGTAGGCGAGTGCTGGGCTGCACGCCTCTGTCTTTCGACAATACACGTTTATTACCTTACAGTTCTGGACGCGAGAGGTCCTGGGTGAAAATCAGGGTGCCAGAGGAGGCTCTGGGGTAGGGCCTTCTGGAGAAGGCAGAGGAGAATGCTTTTTCCTGCTTCCCCAGTTCCTAGAGGATGCCTGCCTTGATTGTTGGCTTTTAAGGTAACATTGGGCCAGGCGAGGTGGTGCACATCTGTAATTGCAGAAGTTCAGGAAGCTGTGGCAGGAGGCTGGTGAGTTCAAAGCCAGCCTCAGGAACTTAGTGAGGCCCTAACAACTCAGTAAGACCCTGGCTCTAAATAAAAAATAAAAAGAGCTAGAGATGTGGCTTAATGGTAAAGCATCCTGGGTTCAATCTCTGGTACAAAAAAAAAAAAAAAAAAAAAGGCATTGGGTCCAGCTGGATAATCCAGAATAACCTCCTTATTTCAGGGTCAACTAATCACAACCTTAATTCATCTGCTTTGACCCATTTCCAGGGTCTAGAGATTCTGATGTCAACATCTTTGGAAGGTCATCCTTTGTCTATCACATCCACATAGTCTATTTCTAGGTATTTATTCTTAAGAAAACAACTGTTGATGCATAACAATAGGGACTAATGTATTCCTAGGCTTTCATTAAAAATAATGGTGAACAAGATTATTTAAAGATACAGAAAGCAGGTTACAAAATGGTTGGTATGATGTACTTCTACTTTTATGACATATACTGTGTTTCTCCATCTCTCTAACTAGAGAGAGATTAAATAAAAATTATTTTAGGTCATTCCTTTTTCTTGTCTTATTGCTTTTTCTAGGCCTTCAATTCAATATTGAATAAATAGGATGATTGTTTCTAATTTCTTTCATTACACCAACTTTTTTTTTTTTCCTGGTACTGGGGATTGAACTCAGGGGCACTCGACCACTGAGCCACATCTGCAGCCCTATTTTGTATTTTATTTAGAGACAGGGTCTCCCTGAGTTGCTTAGCGCCTCACTATTGCTGAGGCTGGCTTTGAACTCCTGATCCTCCTGTCTCAGCCTCCGGAGCTACTGGGATTACAGGTGTGCACCACCCGCCCAGCACACCAACTTTTTAAAATGTCTTGAATGTCTGCTGTGTGTCAAGAATCTCTGGGAGTGAGATACTAGTATTTTTGTTTTCCTAAGTTTACCTATGCTTTTTAAAATCTCAGTGATATTACTTCTGTAACAACAACAACAAAAAAATGTTTTTAACACATAAACTTTTGAGATGAAGGCAAGTCAGCATGTTCTTTCAAGATGAGACCCAGGACCCAGCCTCCAGGGAGCAGCAGCTAACCAGAGCAGGATCCCTCTTGGCCCCCCTTCTATTTCCCCATCCCTGCTGCCCAGAGTGGTGCCAGGATCAGTAACCAAAAACTGGGCTCCCGTTGGCCTCCATCCCTGACTCTGGGTGAGCATCTTAGCTGCATCCACACCTCTACAGAAATTAGTTATTTGTTAGGCCTATCCCTTAGGCCCTGTGTCCCTGAGTTCTCACCTCCCTGTTTAAATGACATTGCCTTAGGTACATTTCCAGGCTGAATCAGGGTCTGAAACTCTTGCTCAAGGGCTGAGCTTTGTGACTACAGCTGCAGCCTTGCCCCTCCCTGCCATCCTGTACCACCCTGCCCTCCTCCAAGGATCGGCAAGGTAGTGACAGCTCAGCCTCAGCGCCATTGGCCTGGCTCCTTTTGCACCCCGACTTCACCCACGGTGGAGCCGACTCAGGGAAGGCGAGCAGATGACCTATCCAAGGCCACACAGCTAGGAAATGGCAGTGAACTGATTCAAACCCACATCTCCCCAGCTCCAGAGGGTGAGGCTGGAACGCCCTGCTCTACTTCTTGGAGTAGATGTTCCAAAAATAATCGTCGTGGGGCTCAGGTGCGGCTCAGTGGCAGCATGTGAGAGGCCCTGGCTTCCGTCCCCAGCACTTGCCGAGTGCTCACTAAGTACACCTGAGTGTGGCGCCTCCATCAACTCAGGTTAGTACCTGGACCCTAACAGCTCCTTTTGTAGTTGAAATGGAGAAAGAGGCTAAGTAAATTGCTAAAGGTCCACAGCAAGGTCCCGATTTGAACCAAGTGCTGCCGCCCGAGCAGCACTGTCCCCGGGAGATACGGACGTCACCTCTCAACACGCACAGGCCACGGGCAGGTAAGTGGAGGCAGGAAGCCACCGTGGACCCCAGTCCCACCAAGACACTTTAACATGGCCCTTCTCTGCTGAGCCTCGCTGTATTCATCTGTAAAACAAAACAGCTCAGACAATCCTGGTGCTTCTTCCAGCTCTGGAAGCAGCCTTTGCCTTTGCTGCCTCAGTTTCCCATCTGTCACACAAGGAAATGGGACCAAGATGGTGTCTCAGGCCCTTCCGGCACCCCTGGCTGATGTGGGCTGCTCCCCCATGTTGTAGGCCATGAGCCCAGAATTTCACCTGCAGCAGCATCCCCACAATGCCCATAGGTTTTCTTTGTTTTGTTTTGCTTTTTCGGGTACCAGGGATTGAGCCCAGGGTCACTCGACCACTGAGCCACATCCCCAGCCCTAATTTGTATTTTATTTAGAGACAGGGTCTCACTGAGTTGCCTAGCACTTTGCTTTTGCTGAGGCTGGCTTTGAACCCGCAACCTCCTGCCTCAGCCTCCCGAGCTGCTGGGATTACAGCTGTGTGCCATGGCGCCCAGCTGTGCCCATAGGTTTTTAATGTGGCCTGATCTGCAGGGCAGGAGCTGGGCTCAGAGAGGGCTGGTGTCCCATTTAAAGGCACACAGCAGTACACCGTGCCTAGTACACTGGGCTGGAATCTGGTCTCTGACACAAAACTGTTCTGACCCTGGGAAAGCCCCACTTGGGGGCCCTGCACTGTCCTGGGATGAGAACCCCCATTCTGTGGGCTTTCTGGGTGCTCCAGCCAGGCCTCCCCTCCAAACATTCTTCAGGGCTCCACGCGACTCAGTCTCTCAGAAAGTCGTCCAGCCACACACACTGGGTAGAGCTGGGAAGCCCTGGCATAGGCTGGGCCCCTGCCAGTGCCCTGGGAGAAGGCAGGTGGCCACCTCCTTGCCAGCCTTCTCACTGGGCACTGCTTGGGGCAGATTTCCAAGGACAAAGAGCCCCACCATCTCCAGGCCCACAGCCTACCCTGGCCTGGCTGGCGGGAGGACGGAAGTCCTTTGGGGGCCACTCAGCCTCATCCTGGGGGTGATTCATATGCTACAGAACCAGGCTGCCGGCGGGTCTGGGGATGTGTGTGCAGGGCCTGTTTTCTGCGGGGAGCCCAGAGAGGACATTCCGAAAGGCTCTTGGAGGGTTATTTTTTTCTGGGGATAAGGACTGAGGGACAGGACAGTGAGCAGCAGTCCTGGGGTAGGACCAGTGTCAGCCAGAGAGCTCAGAGTCTCCCTCTGCTCCCTCCGCGGGTCTTTTCTGGGCCCTCCTTAGAAAACAAAAACAAGAGCTGAGACCCAAGCCGGCCCCTCTCTCCCTGTCACCCATCTGTCGGTCTGTCTCTCTGGCTGCCTATCCCCTGTGTGTACACTAAGAATTCTGAAGGGAACCGCTTTGCTCCTAGCTCGGCTTTCCTTGGGATATCATCCGGTGGGAAACAGGAGCAGTGGGCACAGCCAACATCCCAGCTTTCTGGGGGAGGGAATCTCGGGGCTGGGCGGAGCGAACAAGGTGGTCCAAGTGGACCTTGGATTCTTTCCGTCGGGCGGGGCAGCGCTGGGGGCAGTGGGGGTGGAGCTGGCAATTGGGACATCTTCCCTGTCACCCGTCTCAGAGTCGCCCCCTGCACCTGCGGAGGAGCTTGGAAGGGGGGTGCCAGTCTGTCCTCTCTGACCCCCCGGGCCCCTCGTGCGGGGTTCAAAGAAGCGACCCCGCGCGGGAGCTCGCGGCTCCCCAGACGTGGTGGGGGGTGGGGGTGGGGGCGGCGCTCGGGGCTCCGGGCCCCGCCTCCAGCCGGCTCAGCGACGGACCCTCCCGGCGGCCGGGTGGGGCGAGGGGAGGGAGGAAGGGGCGAGGTCTGCCTCAAGAGGGGCGTGTGGCCGGCGCAGCCCGTCCGGCGACTTGGGCGCGAGCGGCCGGCGGCGGCGAGGGGAGGGCGGACGGTCCGTGCCCCGACGTACGTCAGCGCCGGCCGGGGAGGCGGCGGCGGGACGGCAGAGCGGGCGGACCGGGCGCCGCTCCACCCGCGCCCGTCTCCGCCGGGGCCCTGCGCCCCGGGCCGCCCGCGGCATGGACAGCGCGGCCGCCGCCGCCTTCGCGCTGGACAAGCCGGCGCTGGGCCCGGGACCGCCGCCGCCCGCGCTGGGGCCCGGCGACTGCGCTCAGGCGCGCAAGAACTTCACGGTGAGCCACCTCCTGGACCTGGAGGAGGTGGCGGCCGGGCGGCTGGCGGCGCGGCCCGCGGCCAGGGCCGAAGCGCGCGAGGGCGCGGCGCGGGAGCCGTCCGGGGGCAGCAGCGGCAGCGAGGCGGCGCCACAGGACGGTGAGTGGCGCGGGCCGGGGCCGCCGAGGGCGTGGGGACCGCGGGACCGGCCCGGGCGGAGTGCGGCGCTGGAGGGAGGCGGCGCTGCGACCCTGGGGCGCGGGACACGCCGCAGCCGGGGCGGGCTGCCGCTGACTGGAGCTCTGGACTAGGGCAAGGGACCTTCGGCTGGAGCCGCCTAAAGTCGTGGGTGTGCGACTTCGGGGAAGGGGCTGCCCTGGCGCCCGGCCCTGGAGGCAGCCCGTGCCTCCTGGGAAGTGGGTGCGATTCAGTCGGTGCCATGTTACTGCTGGAAGACGAGGCCTTGGAGGGGCAGAGCATCGGGGTGGGGCAGCTGGGTTTCCAACTGTCCCCCGTGCCCGCCAACTACTGCCGCAGAGGGTTCTTGGGTGTTGACGCCTGTGTGCCCCCACCCTGCAGTGTGCCCAGGATCGCGTCCTGGGTGGAAGGGCTCAGCCCTAAAGAGCCAGCCGGGCCTCTCTTCCCCTGCAGAGGTTAAAGGTCATCAGGAAGGGGCTTTAAAAACAAACAATCCACCCAAGTGGCTTTTTTCAAAAAGTCACACAGGATCACAGAGTCCCAGTCCTTGGTAAGAAGGGGTGGGGGTGGGGAGAGCAGGAGATGAGGATGAAGCAGCAGCGGTCCCAGCAGGACGGTTCCCTGGAGGCAAGGCAGATTGCCCACAGCTCACCCGACCTGCCCTGCCCTAGCCCTGGGGGGTGGGCTGGCCTGCTGGGGGCTCTGGGCCACCTGGCTTTGTTCTAGTCCCCCACAGGGTCTGCGGGGTGAGCGGGCTTGGGTCCCCTACCTTCCCGCCCACCTCTGGGACCCAAGTAACTACACCAGCCTCTTGGTTCCAGGGGTGCCCAGGCTGGTGGGAGCCTCATTCTCCCATAAGAGGGTGACAGGGACAGTGGAGGTGACTTCAGCCTAGTCTGAAACCCCATCTGGGAGCACGTGTGTCCTTCGGACAGCATCCTGCTGCCTTCCACAGAGCACCTTCCAAGGGCACCCTGCCCCTGCCAGCCTGGTGAGGAGGGGCCACTGGCTGCCCCACAGGGTGTCTTCCCCCCTCCCCCCAGGCACAGGCCTGGCTGCTCCCTCTACCTTCTGGGGTTGGGGTTTAGACCCCTGATGAGAAGGTGGAGGCAAACGGTCCAGTTTGGGCCAGGAGTAAAGCGGGCTCAGGTGGGGAAGGCCATGACAGCCCCAGGACATTGGTGGACCCCCGGGGGCTCTGGCTGGCTCCCCTTAGAGAGGAGAGCAGGGCCTGGTTTTACCAGGGGTGGGAGAGAAGGAAGAAGGGAGGAGAGGAGGGATGGCGGCAGGGTCTGGGCAGGAGGCCGGGCCTTTCCCAGGTGGGGCCCTCAAGGTCTCCCAGGGGAATTCTCCTGGGCATCCAGATGGCTGCTGTCCTCTGGGGATGTGAGCACCTGGATGGGACCACTGAGCCGCTGGGCAGCTGGGTCCATGGTGGGAGTCCCCAGCAGCCCCCTGGGGCCTGACCACCTTCCCCAAGAGCCTATGAGACCTCCTGAGGAGGGGCTTCCTGCACACTGGGGGTGTCTTGAGGGGTCGAGGACATGCCGGGTCCCTGTGGGGTCAGTTGGGACAGTCTGGGCCAGGCTCAAGGAGTTGCTCACCAGCTGGCCTCTGCCTCAGGAGCCACACCCAGATCTGCCCTGGGACTGTGAGGCGGCAGCGGTGAGTCCAGGTCTGCAGACCCAAGTGGAGGGAGGGGACAGGGACAGCTCTCTGTTCATCTCTGGTCATGTGCCTCTTCCCACTGCCATCTGTCAGGGATTCCCACGACCCGAGGGATCCGAAGGCGGGGGACCTTTCTCCTGGTGAGCACAGCATGCACCACTGGACCCTATGAAAGTGGGCATCCAGGGCTGGGGGTGCCAGGACTCCAGACCCCGGGGCAGCACACGTGGGCTGTGGCTGACATTGGCCCATCCTGGGCCCTCCTGAGGCCTCCTACCTGCTGGGAAGTGTGTTTTCCTGTGGCTTCTGGGTTCTCTCCAGGTCCAAAGAGAAAGACTGGCCAAGAAAGAAGCCACAATTCCTCCTAGAAAAGTTGGGCTTAGTAGGGAGACGAATGGGCTGGAAATCTGGTAGGTTTTCAACCTGCTGAGTTAGCAGGTTCGAAATTCTGAAAAGTTTTTAAAAATCTTTTGTTTCCTCAAGCCACAAGTAGTACCGCTCATTCCTGCCAATGACTTCCCAAGACCCGTCTTTGCCTCGGGCTGGCCGGGGAGGCTGTGGCTTCACCCGTGACTCAGAACAAACCAGGGTCTCGAGTTCCTCCCAAATCAAACGCTGAGGGCTGTGCGGGCGCTGAGCTATGCCAAGCACGTTAGGAAAATAAACCCTCGTTCGCCGCCTTAGCAGTGACTTACAACAAAAGAACCCACGCTCATCACCAGGGTTTCTCTGAAGCATTCCCTCCTGTGGGCAGGGCGGAAACCAGGACGGGACACACTGGGAAAATCAACAAAGGCCCTGGAGGCGGCAGAACTGAGACCCTGGCCAGTGAGGCCCCAGCCTGCTGCAGGAGGGACCGGGCAGATCCCCCGCGGGTCCACTTTTCAGACATCCAGGATGCTGCTGCGCTGCTTGCAGTCTGAGCCTGGGGTGGCCAGGGCGAGCTGGGGCCACCAAATCCAACAGGGTGATATGGTGGCTAGCCATGGGCCGGCAGGGCCAAGGGAGGGCCTGAGGCACCACTGAATTTGGGAGACAGGCAGACTCGCTTTCAACTTTTTTAGTGGTGATAAAATATGTCTAGCCCAGGCTTTACCAGGTTAACCATTAGCGCGGCACAGATCCTTGGCGTCAGGGACGTTCACACTGCCGTGCAGTGGTCCCCACCTTCCACCCCTAGAACTCTTACGTCTTCCCAGACGGTCACTCCACACCCAACAGGTAACCTCTGCCTCCCCGCCCCGGGTCCCTGGGCTGCCCTACTTTCTATGAATCAGGCCACTCTAGGGGGCTCCAATAAGTGGAACCAAACAGTGTTTGTCCCTAGTGCTTGGCACCTCCCTTGGTGTGACTTCTGAGAGGTTCACCCTGGCGCAGGTTGCAGCTGCGGGGTCCTGTGCTGTGTGGGCGTGGCTTTTGCTCATCCCCCTCAGTGGGCGCTTGGGTCTCGCTACCTGTTGTAAGCAGTGCTGGTGCGAAGTGTGCAATTAGCCGCGCACCCCAGCTTCCAATTCTTTGGGGTGTTTCCGGAAGTGGGCTGGCCGGGTCCTGTGGACACTCTCTGTAGTTGTGCTTTTGTTTTTTTTTATTACTAGTTGATAGAGCTTTATTTTATCTCTTTTTATGTGGTGCTGAGAATGAACCCAGTGCCTCACACATGCCGGGCAAGTGCTCACCGCCAGCCCCAGCCCCAGCCCCAGCCCCACCCTCAGCCCCAGCCCCAGCCTCAGCCCCAGGCCCAGGCCCAGACCCAGACCCAGACCCAGACCCAGATCCAGTCCCATCCCCATCCCCATCCCCATCCCCATCCCCAGTCCCAGCCCCAGCCCCAGCCCCAGGCCCAGCCCCAGGCCCAGCCCTCTCTGTAGTTTGAAGGGACCTTAGTTCGGTTCTCACGGGGGACTCTGGGTTGCTCTGCATCTGCAAAAGCCAGCCTGGAGCCGGGAGTGGGCTGAGGGGATGCGAAGCATTCTCTGGAAGCAGGTCTTCCTAGGAGAGTCCTCTCCCCCGGCCTCCTCTCCTCCCTGGCCTCCTTCTCTCTCGTTCCTGCTGGGAAACCGAGTCATGCTGCTCAGCCAGAGCTGGCTGAGCCATGGGACACCTGAGGACCGGTCCTGGCTTGTGATGCTGGCTCTACATGTGGCCTTCTCCGGGTCCCACCTGGACATGGGAGATGGCACACAGGTGTTCATGAGACCCTTCCTAATTGGTCACGACCCCACCCGGCCTAGAAGACCGCTCTGTGGTGGCTGAGGTCGTAGCCCAGTGGTGGAGCGCTGGCCTGGCCTGAGGGAGGCCCTGGGTTCCATTCTCATCCCGCATAGAAATAAACTAAAGAAAGCCACTCTGTGGCCCGTCCCCTGGGCTTGTGGTGTCCCAGAGCCTGGGCCTGGTGCCCGGACTCTCAAGCAGATGAGGGCGTCTCAGCACAGGCCCCGGGAGTGGGGAGAGGAGGACCTTTGGTGGCAGCCAGTGGCTGGGGCAGTAGTGGGCCTCTCCGCCCCTGTCCGCGGAAGGACACCTGCTGTTTCAGGAGGGTCCTGCCCCTCTCTGCAGCAGACCTGGAGCGGGGCTTGGGGCCTGGCACAGGGGCCTCAGACCACCAACATCCTACAAGGCCTTCCTTTCAGGTAGGCACTCAACAGTCTAGAGCTGTTTCTCCCAGAAGATTCCGGAAGGTACCTCTGGAACACCTGCTTGCCCACACCCTTGAGGCCTAAAAAGAACCCCGAAGTTCAGCGTTGCCATCTGTGAAATGGGAACAAGGGGCATCCCTTATGGAGGAGCCCTGAGTGTAGGGGTACCCAGCCCTGTAGGTGCTCAACAAAGATCTCGTGACAGCTGCTTGAGACGCCCGCAGTGACCCTGCAAATCAGGCCCGGCTGGTGATTATCATCCCTATTTTTTTGAGGCCCAGAGAGGCTAAGTGCCCTGCCCAAGCTCTCACAGCTGGGAAGGGAAGGCTGGGCCTCCGTCTCCTGCGCAGCTCAGTGTCTGGCTGGGGAGGGTGAAGGAGGAGCTGCCCCAGGCTGTGGGGAAACTTCTGAGAGGGGTAGGGAGGTGGGGTGGGCCTTGAGGGCCGGCGCCGACTGGGGCTTTCGGGATGGACATTGTGTGCATGTACCAGGGGCTTCTGAGCAGCAGAGACCAGGGGCTGGGGTGGCTTGTCCTGGGCAGGGCTGTGAGGTCAGGTTGGACCGGGCAGAACTTGGCATGTCTTCATGGTGACCCAAGCCTGAAAGGACAGTGGCCAACCGTGGGTGGAGGCAGACCTGGGGGTTGCTTGGGGGACC